GACGATATTTCACCATGTTGGCCAAGCTGGTCTTGAACTTCTGATCTCAAGTGATCCACCTGCCTCGGCCTCCAAAGTGCTGGGATTACAGATGCGAGCCACCACACCCCGCTGAGAGAGACATACTCTTAATTACATTTTCACCCTCAGGCTTTTTTTTTTTTTTCCCAAGAGGAAAAAATGAAGGTTCCACATCTTTAATTAATCCATTGAAAATTTTTCCAAAATGGATATAAAGTTTACATCCTTAGTTATATTTGTTGCAAGCCTGAGTTTTAATAATCCTTTGTCACTTAAAAGCTTTCTCAAGTTTATTTTGGATTGCCTGTATTCCCTCGTTTCAGCTTTCATAAGTCAACTCTTTTTTCCTGAGCCCTTCTCTTTTTTTTTTTTTTTTTTAAATTATTATTATTATACTTTAAGTTCTAGGGTACATGTGCATAACGTGCAGGTTTGTTACATATGTATACTTGTGCTATGTTGCCGTGCTGCACCCATCAACTCCTCAGCACCCATCAACTCGTCATTTACTTATAATACCTTGTCTAGTGCATCCAAAACACCCACCACACACTAGTATCTGGTTTTTAAACCTTTTCCCCTAGCTCGAAATTCATTATGTACATTATCTGCCTCCCAGATTATCATTGGTAAGTTATATCAAATGCTTTATTGCTACATAATGTGAAGTGCCATGTTTCGAGCCTCCAATATTAGTTTTTTCTGCCAATCAATCCTAAGCTAATGCTTTTTATTTTAGGTTCTTTGTTTCAGCAGCACTCAACTCCTGTTACCAGTGTCTATATTTGTCTCAAGATAGGTTAGCCTTATGCTGTATTATCAAATGAACCCGGAATCTCAGTGGCTTATCTCATGGTCGTTACAAAGTCCTTTACAGATCTGAGGATCTTCCTGGAAACTGTTTCCCATGAAGCAACTCAGTTATCCAGGCTGACAGAGGATTTCCCAACCTGTAGCTGCACTGTCTGAAACATGGTGTATTATGTGAAACATGCAGCCTGAGGACGGTGCACCAACTCTTGTAAGTGCACTTCATTACTCACCCCACAATGAATTGGCCAGAACTAATTGATAAAGTACTCCCTAACTTTAAGGGGCTTAGAAATTCAGTCTTCTGTGTAGTAAGCCTGTGGAGAATCATACTGTCGAACACTAGTGATGTTTACTAATAATAATCGTCATACCAGTGAATTAAGTACAGAAACAGTAGTTTGAATCACAAAAGATTTTAGGTAAGAACAGGCAGTCATTGAGCATAAGTTTACCTTACTTTCTCCAACCTGGCCTAAAGGAACACCACCTGCATACAGCCCTATGTGATCTACTGTTAAATAACTAAAGTATTATTTTATATCCTCATATTTCATTATGCCCGATTCACTACTTTCTAGGAAATGCTTAAGTAACTATATTAAGAATCACAGAGTAGGACGGGTGCGGTGGCTCACACCTGTAATCCCAGCACTTTGAGAGGCCGAAGCGGGCAGATCATGAGGTCAAGAGATTGAGACCATCCTGGCAAACATGGTGAAACCCTGTCTCTACTAAAAATACAAAAATTAGCTGGGCGTGGTGGCACGCACCTATAGTCCCAGCTACTTGGGAGGCTGAGGCAGGAGAATCGCTTGAACCCAGGAGGCAGAGGTTGCAGTGAGCCAACTGCGCTCCAGCCTGGCAACAGAGCGAGACTCCATCTCAAAAAAAACAAAACAAAAAAAGTTGTAATTTGTACGGATGTGCCTGTAGCATACTAGCTTTAAATATTTTTCATCCTCCATTGTATTATGTGGTAAAATATATACATCATCAAATTTACCACTTTAACCATTTTTAGGTGTATAAGTAGTGTCATTAAGTGCATTCACATTGTTGTGCAAATTTCACCATTCATTTCCAGAATTCCTTCATCATCTCAAACGAAAACTCTGTACCCATTAAATAGTAACTTCTCATTCCCCCCTTCTCCCAACTCCTGGGAACTCTATTCTACTCTCCATCTGTGTGAATTTGCCCATTCTAGGCACTTCATATAAGTGAAATTGTACAATATGTGTCCTTTTGTGTCTGGTTTATTTCATCTTGCATGTTTTCAAGGTTTATTCATATTGTAGCATGCATCAGAATTTCATTCCCTTTTAAGGCTGAGTAATATTCAATTGTATATATATACCACAGTTTTAAATTTTTATTAAGTTTTAAGATGGATGTGATATGGCACCTAATAACACTATAAAGGTTCAAATCTCAAGAAACAGCAATAGTTCCTATTTCGATATATTTTCCACATATCATCTTAGCTTATTTCCATTTTGCTTTAAGGATAATTTGTTTCTGTAATAATGGAAGGTGACATATCCTCCCCTAGAATTTTCTACTTCACTCCATTCATTCATTCATTCGTTCATTCATTCATTCATTCATTCATTGAGACAGTCTCGCTGTGTAGCCCAGGCTGGAGTGCAGTGGCGCGATCTTGGCTAACGACAACCTCTGCCTCCTGGGTTCAAGTGATTCTCGTGCCTCAGCCTCCTGAGTAGCTGGGACTACAGGTGCGGGCCACCACATCCAGCTAATTTTTGTATTTTTTTGTAGACAGTTTTGCCACAGTGGCCAGGCTGGTCTCGGACTCCTGGCCTCAGGTGATCCACCCTCCTTGGTCTCCCAAAGTGCTGGGATTACAGGCGTGAGCCACAGTGGTTGGCCAAATTTTCTACTTCAAACACTGAAAACAGAGGAAGTTAATACAAATTTTAACCTATAAAGTCCCCTGGTTGTTAGTCATTAACAGCAGATTGTCAAATAAGACTGGTAAAATAAGACTGTCAAATAAGACTGCTAAGCATTTGATGATCCAGGTGCAGGATGATCAAACTGCAGCAAATCATGCACATGACAGCTGCTTACATAGAAATTTAACACCACAACACACATTCTTAGAAAATTCTGTGTTGAAATACATATACTTACCTCATGTGTCCATAAGATCATAATGTTATGGGGAACTCTTAGAACAGGGTGGTTAGAGAAAGGGAACTGGAATTGGAACTGTAAAATTCATTTTCAGGTCTGGCAAACAGCAATTGCTGAGGGTGTCTCATTAAACTGGCACAAGGAACAAAATGTGAGGTATTTAATAATCCTCTCCATTTCACAATGCATTTCCAAAATGACTGGCCTACATTAGGATCATTGTTGAACATATTAATGCAATCATACAGCAGATGTAAAAATTTCTGTGTGCAAAGCAGATGCTGGGGACTTGGAGGGCAGAGGTGAGGGAGAAAACCCTTACCCGAAAATTGCCTCACCTTTACTAGGGAAACAAGCAAACAATTACAATATGATTATAGGGAGTAGGAACACGACAGTTTCACTAGGACAATCGGGTTTCTCTAAGATAGAACATTCCTCTGATGAGAATGTTTCTCAGAGAATTTAACTTGAAAATCAGACCTGATGCAAAAAACTTGGAAAATGCACAAAATCACAGAGCAGAATCAGAGATTACTGATAACATGTGGTATATATCCTTCTTTTGCTCCATACAGTGGTTTTTATTTATTTTACGCTTTGGGACAGAGACTCACTCTTGCCCACGCTGGAGTGCAGTGGCGAGATCTCGGCTCACTGCGACCTCTGACCCTGGGTTCAAGCAATTTTCCTGCCTCAGCCTCTCTAGTAGCTAGGATTACAGGCACCTGCCACCACGCCCAGCTAATTTTGGTATTTTTAGTAGAGACGGGGTTTCACCATGTTGGCCAGGCTGGTCTCGAACTCCTGACCTCAAGTGATATGCCTGCCTCAGCCTCCCAAAGTGCTGAGATTGCAGGCAGGAGCCACCACGCCCGGCCCATACAGTGATTTTTAAAATCAGACTGTTGAGTAGTCTTATTTGTGCTAAGTGGAAATTAGGGAAAAGGTCAGAGAAATAGGGATTTCCTTTTGCCTTCAGTAGTATCCTCATGAACCTGAGTCATGGTGTTATCAGGTGTAATCAATGAAGGTTTCTCACAAGATAAAATTTTATTTTGAGGACCACGTCCGTGGATTGGAGGAAAGGCAGATGGTTAGCTAGTGTGGACTTTTATTATAATGCTAATTCAGGAGTATCTGGGTTTCTAGTGCTAAGGAAAACTGAATTTTCAGCAAAGGGCATCTATATTTTCACATCTGTATCTTTATCCATTCAGCTGTGCTCTTACTATTTTGTTTCTACGGTAATTTGCTATTTCTTTTGCATGACAATTCCCAATGAAATAATTTAGATACTTCGTGCACTTTGTCACGCAAAAGTTTTCATGTCACTCTCTGGAAAGGCACTTCCCAGGATGTAGTTAATAAACACTTTATCTTTGGAACATTTCTGTTATCCTTGTCACTTGTAGCTCCTAGCCTGGAAATTGATACTTTTGACACTTGAACGTTGTTCATATAAAAACACTGTGGAATCAACGTACCCTCTTTGAGGAATGGCATTGCATACGTCCTTTTGAGAAGCCATCTTGTAGTTGAAGGAAAGAAGCAGGACGGAAACCAGACTTCCCCGCCCCCGCCACGGTTCCCTAAAGGTCACAGATAATGAAAAACCGAGACTAGTTAAGCGAAGGAGAGATGAGCAAGTGTTCCCGGAAGGGGGCGCGATGTGTTGAGGTTAACAAAGAAAAAGACAGCTGCGGGGTCAGCTAAGGTCTCCGCTTTCGCTACCGACCCAGACTGCTCACCTTCACAAACTCGTTTCCCTCAAGCGGAACTCTCGGCAGCGCTCAAGCGAGAGTATTCCATCCTTGGAATACTCTCGCTTGAGCGCTGGAATACTCTGAGAAGGTTCCAGCCAGATGTTGGACTGCCTGAAATGCCGCTTCCAGCGCACTAAGCAACTTGAACTGCGCTAAGCAACTGGCCTGAATGTTTGGTTTGACCCTGGGGTTCCTCCGTAGTCTGTAAGTGGAGTTGCGAACTCAACCCCTTCTCCAAGGCGGGAGTGTTTCCAGGAGAGAACATACTTCCCCTTGAAGGAAGATCACGTTACTAAAGTAAAAAATTTGAAGGCGCCCTGTGTATATAACACGCTCTTGGCTTTGTGGCCACTCTGAAGATAAAGATGGGTCGGGAATGGCGCCGGCCACATTAAAAAGTAATGTGCAGGAATGGTTCAGTTGCCCGGTGTTGATGGTTTTGCCCATAATAAAAATGGCGCCGTAACATGTCAATCGGCACAATCACGTGTTCACAAACCTGGATGAGAGATGGTATGGCTTCAGATGACGAACGGATGTTATTATTCTTTACTTCCGGGTGAGACAAATCGGGCGCCATCTTGTCTTGTTCCCGAAGAAGTAGAAGCATCGAAAGCGTTGGAGAGGTATTACCGGAACGGCGGCGACAAGGGTGTTCCCGAACTAGAGTAGGTAAGTGTTGGAGAACAATTACACGTGGGCACTTGCCGGACCATTACAACCCTCTTAGTGTCTGTGGCGACGGTAGCGTAACTTAAAATAGGCTGCGTACGCTGCTTGGCGCGACCGCTGGAACCTCATTCCTTTAAAGCGGTGCAGTCCGCCAGACTTGGTAAATCAGAGCGGTGCTTTCGCTGAAAAGGAAATGTCCCTGTTAAAGAGAGTGCTCACGGCCCCATCTTCTAACAGAGTTTTCTCTCGGACGAGAAGAGACTAAAATTGTTGGGTTCCTGACCGGCCGTTAAACACTGCGCGTGCGCAGTGGGAACCCCCTTGTGGGGAGGGGGTTCGGGGGGCGGAGGAGGCGGGGGCTCCCGATCTGGAGCTTATACCCTTTGAGGCTCCGACTACGCAGGCGCGGTTCCTTAGTTTGTGTTTTTCGGGTGTTCTTACCTAATGATGGATATTATATGTGTTAAGCTTCAATAAAGGAACAGGTAGTATTCGATAATTCAGTTTTTTACCCTGTGGGGGATGGTATCGTCATCTGAACAAATTGAGCACTAGACAAATTTGTTCGTGGGTTGTTAAATTAACATTCTAGCTTAAGATTTTAATTCAACATTAATCTTTTACATCTTTTTACTTCCTCCTGCCCCCAAATAAAACAAAATAAACTTGGAATTCCTCATTTGAGTGCAGCAGGGCAAAACCAACAGAAACCAGACTACTAAAGATTTACTTGTGGAATTTTTTTGCAAAGTGTCAAAGGGCTTATAGAGAAAATGAAACAGTTCTTTAAAGATGTTCTTGAGAGAGGTTTTTTTTTAACTTACTAAAGGACTTTATGTTTTAGAACAGTTTTTGTTTACGTTGAGCACGTAGGACGTCCACACTACACACACAGTTTCTCTTATTAATAGATATTAGTATGGTACATTTGTTGCAACTAATGAACCAGTAATGATAAATTATTAACTAAGATCCATAGTTTATTCCTACTTCCTCACATTTTATCTAAAGTCCTTTTTCTGTTCCAGGATCCCAGCTAGGATATCACGTTACATTTAGTTGTATATTCTTAGGCTGTATATTCTTGGCTGTGACAGTTTCTCAGGCTTTCTTTGTTTTTGATGACTGTTAAGGGCTGAATTGTGCCCTTCTAAAATTCTTATCTTGAAGTCCCTACCTCAATACCCCAGAACGTGACTGTATTTGGAGAGAGGGTCTTTAAAGAAGATGAGGTTACTAGGGTGGACCTTAGCCCAATATATTAATAACTGCTGTCCTTAAGAGAGTAGGACACAGAGGGATGACGATGTGAAGACGTAGGGGGGAAGACAACCATCCACAAGCCAAAGAGAGAGGCCTCAGAATGAAATCAACCCCATAGGTATTAGACTGTACGCCTCCAGAACAGTGAGGAAATAAATTTCTATTGCTTAAGCCACCCAGTCTTTGGTACTTTGTTATGGCAAGCATACCAAATTAATACAGTGACCTTGACATTTTTGAGGAGTATGGGTCAGGTACATTGTAGGGTGCCCTGCTTTTGGAATTTGCCAGACATTTTTCTCATGATTAAAATGGCTTTACGGACTGTGTCAGGGGAAGATCGCAGAGGTAAGATGCCCTTTTCAGCACATGCTATCAAGGATAGATACTATCAAAGTGACTTATCACATTGTTATTGACCTTGATCACCCTTCTGGAGTAGTGTTTGTTAGATTTTCCACTGTGAAGTTACTTCTCCCACCCCTTTTTGTACTGTTCTCTTTGGAAGGAAGTCATTTTGCAGAGCCCACGCTTACTGAATGGAGAGTTATGCTCTTCTTCAGGGTGGAATATTTACATAATTTATTTGGAATTCTCTGTGGGAGATTTGTCTCTTCCCTGCCATTTATTTGTTAATTTATTTTATCATATCATTATGGGCCTGTGGATGTTTATTACATAACTTGTATTATAATCCAGTACTTCTTTATTTTGTTGCTGAAATTGTTCCAGCTTTGGCCATTGGCAGCTCTTTGAGTTGTCTACTGTTCTCCTTTGATGTGCTCCTATCAATTTTTTTTTTTTTTTTTTAGCACTTTATTACTTCCTGGCAGTATACATGCTCCAGACTCATCTTTTACATTTCCTGTCGCAGTCCTAGAATCAGCTATTTATTTAAGGATCCCTGATTCCTTTTTTTGAAGAACGATATTAAAACCAAGTTCTAGTGCCTAGGTGTGCTCATTGCTACTAGGATGTCATTTTGGGCTCCCTCTCTACATTTATTTTTAAATTATTGGTATTTGGGAGGGGGTTATTTATAACCAACTATCTAATTCTGCAAAGTTTTTTTTTTTTGTCTTTGAGACAGAGTGTCACTCTGTTGCTCAGGCTGGAGTGCAGTGGTGGCACAGTCTTGGCTCACTGCAACCCCCGCCTCCTGGGTTCAAGTGATTGTCCTGCCTCAGCCTGCTAAGTAGCCGGGACTACAGGCATGCGCCACCATGCCCGGCTAATTTTTGTATTTTCAGTAGAGTGGAGGTTTCGCCATGTTGGCCAGGCTGCTCTTGAACTCCTGTCCTCAAGTGATCCACCCACCTTGGCCTCCCAAAGTGCTGGGTGTACAGGCATGAGCTGCCATCCTTGGCCTCCACTTTAAAAAATATGTCTTTTGAGCTACAAACTGCAAATATTTCAGTATATACTAAAATACGTGTCACATAAAAGTAGCAAAAATTCTCTTTTCCATATTTCAAATGATTACAAGATTAAGCTTTACCAGTGCCATTTCAACCTAATCTGAATTAAACAAATAAATTCTTTTTTGACTTTGAGGTCAGTCAACTCATATGTGAGACTGAAATGTCAGGGGCGAAGAGAATTTTTGTATTTTCTGGCTTCTCAGCTTTGTGGTTGATTTGAGAAATATTTCATACTATGCATCAAATGATAGATGTGTTTCTGTAGCTCTCTGATTTTGTAGTTGATGCTCAAGGACTTTAAAATACCACATTTTAATTCTCATCCATCTCTTTCACAGTCTTTAAGTGACTTTTGTAAATATTAATGATTGTCACTTTGGCCACGCAGGGTGGCTCATGCTTGTAGTCCCAGCACTTTGGGAGGCCGAGGAGGATGGATCATTGAGGCCAGAAGTTCGAGGATAGCCTGGGCAACGTGGCAAAACTCCATCCCTACTAAAAATACAAACATTATCCTGGCGCGGTGTCGTGCACCTGTAGTCTCAGCTACTCGGGAGGCTGAGGCATGAGAATTGCTTGAACCTGGGAGGTGGAGGTTGCCATAAGCCGAGATCACGCTGCTGCATTCCAGCCTGAGCAACAGAGTGAGACTGTCTCAAAAATAAATAAGTGATTGTTATTTAAACAAGTCGTTTTAGGACCGCAAAGCAATGAAGTTCTAATACAGATCCATTTAAGAAGAGGATAAAATAGATGATGGCCATTTCTGGTTGTATTAGTTTTCTAGAGATACTGTAGCAAATTATCACAAACTGGCTGGTTTCAAACAGTAGAAATTTATTCTTCCACAGTTCGGAAGGCTAACAGTGTAAAACTGAGCTTTTGGTAGGGCCATGCTCTCTAATGGCTTTGTGGGGGATCCTTGTCTTTTCCTAGCTTTTGGTAGTTCTTGTCAATCCTTGATGTTCCTTGGCTTTTAGAGCCATCTACTCCAATCTGTACCACTGTGGTCATGTTACATTGTCCCTGTAAGTGTCTATGTTTCTTTTTTAATAAGGTCCCCCCAATCAAATGTGAACTCATTGTAATTTGAATACATCTGCAAAGACCCTATTTCCAAATAAGGACATATTCACAAGTATCAGGAGTTAGGACTTCGGTGTATCTGTTGGACGGGGACACAGTTCATTCCATAACACTGGTGATAGCTATCACTCGATTTTTTTTGCAGCAGTGTGTGATGGTTTTGATGATCTGATACAAACCTTGGTTTTCATCTTTCTGTTCTTCCCAGACCCCATTTGTTTTCCAAGGAAATAGCAGTTAACTTTACTCCATAAAGAGAAATAACTCTTAGGAAAGTCTTGCAGCCTTGCCCATCACTAGTCAGATTTCTCCGAACTTGAAAACTCAAGCCTAACAAACTTTAAAATTAAATCTAAAGGAAGAGTGAATAAATTGGTATCAATTTTTGATGTTATAAAATCACAGTAGCAGTATTGGAATGTCATTTTCATGGTTGAACATTAATGTATTTACTTGCTAACATTTCAGTGAATTATAAATATTTAACCACTTAATATGGACAAAACATTATGGAGAATTTAAATTATTATAAAATGTTTTCTCTTCCCTAAAGAAGATTCTTGTTTGAGCCAAGACAAAAACATGAAAATTTAATGCAGACCCTCTATAAAAAGTATTGTATATCATCTTTAACTTATTAAATGGAAGCTTTCAAACAGTGGAAAAGAACAGGGTAGCAAATGCCCATCTTTAAATTATCAGCATTTTCCAAATCACTTTTAAACCAACTTGTAAATGTCATTTTTAATGGTACAAGGTTATGTTATTTCGTTAAACCATAGTGAAATTTTAAAATATGTATCCATTGATTACTGTGTGTTGTGCCGTGTATTCCTTCTGTTTTCTAGGTTTTGCGTTTGTTAGATTTGTTAGTAGTGAAGATGAAGAAAGAGTAGCGTTCCTGAATCCTTGCCATAAAATCACTTGTAATCTTACTCTTTAATTAAAAAATAGTTAATGAAACTCCTTATCAAGCATTGTGCTATGTGCTGAAACATATATAAAAGTTTAAGTATTTCCTAGTTTTATACCAAGTCTTTACTACAATCTGTCCCTTGTCTACAAAATTTTAACGTAAGTCCAAATTTCGTTTTCATGACCAGAGTTACCTGTTTTGGATAAGATTATCAAAATTTACTCTAAATCCTGTAAGAAAATGAGACAGAGGACATTTGCCCAATGCATGAAAAATGATGCTGCTTGAGGCCTTTTCTTTTTAAAAATGCAGTTATGGGCCGGGTGTAGTGGCTCACGCCTGTAATCCCAGCACTTTGGGAGACCGAGGCGGGCAGATCACAAGGTCAGGAGATTGAGGACCATCCTGGCTAACATTAGTGAAACCCTGTCTCCACTGAACATAAAAAATTAGCTGGGCATGGTAGCGGGCACCTGTAGTCCCAGCTATTCGGGAGGCTGAGGCAGGAGAATGGCATGGGCCTGGGAGGCAGAGCTTGCAGTGAGCCGCGATCACGCCACTGTACTCCAGCCTGGGCGAAAGAGCAAGACTCCGTCTCGAAAAAAAAAAAAAAATGCAGTTATGTATAGAAAATTACTAAATTACAAAATCATCTCAAAACTGCTAAGCTCTAGAAACTGGAAATAGGAATCAGATAATTTTAATCTTTATTTTATATCTTTCTGTATTCTTTGAATTAGTTTATTCTGTGAATATATATTTTTAGAAAAAATACAGATTTTTTTAAAGATATAAAGAGCCAAATGAAGCTAATGAACACAGTCCATAATGACTAGTACAGGCAGTAAAAATTACACAAACTTCTTCAACTGTGAGACATTGGGCAAATGTCCTCTGTCTCATTTTCTTACAGGATTTAGAGTAAATTTTGATAATCTTATCCAAAACAGGTAACTCTGGTCATGAAAATGAAATTTGGACTTAATATTAAAATTTTGTAGAAAAGGGACAGATTGTAGTCCCTTTTTTTGCACTTAATGCAGTTTGTACAGTAATACATATCGGTATGTAGAAGTAGAAATCTACCTTATTCATTTTAATGACTGAATAGGAATCTACTGTATGGCTCACTCTTATTTAACTTGCCTTTAATTTCATGTCACTGAAACCAGGTGTTTACTGTTACACAATATGCTGCCGATTTTTGAATTATGGTATGAATATTCACATTCATGGTTTAGGACCCTGCAGTGGAATTGCTGGGTCAGAGGGATGTGCACATACAGTTTTGTTAAGATGCCGTAATGGCAAATTGTCTTTTTTTTCTTTTTTTTTCCTGAGGTGGAGTCCTGCTCTGGTCCCCAGGCTGGAGTGCAGTGGTGCGATCTCGGCTCACTGCTACTTCCACCTCCCGAATTCAAGTGATTCTCCTACCTCAGCCTCCCGAGTAGCTGGGACTACAGACCCATGCCACCATGCCCAGCTAATTTTTTTGTGTTTTTAGTAGAGACGGGTTTCACCATGTTAACCAGGCTGGTCCTGAACTCCTGACCTCAGGTAATCCACCCGCCTCGGCCTCCCAAAGTGCTAGGATTACAGGCGTGAGCCACCGTGCCCAGCCGGTAAATTGTCTTTTAAAAGACTAACCATTTGGTGTTCCACCTATGCCCTCATCCAGTAGTCATCCTCTATAACTAAATCAAGTTTCTCAACTCCAGACTTAATTAAAGCACTTTAATAAAGAGCCCCTAACTTCTAACTTCCTTAACTTACCATCACCTTCTTTACTGTTTTTTTATTCTGCTCTGCTTTTCCCAATTTCACATCTTTTTTCTATTTTTCTCAGCTTAAGTGTCCCAAACATTGTTTTACTTGAATAGTAGCTTCCATTAAAACTTTGGGGAAGAACAGCTTCTAAAAATATAGCAAAAGTAGAAATGGCTGTTTTAAACATACAGAAAAATAATTATAAGTGATACAAATGAAACTTTTGAAAATATGCAAATTAAAACCTCTGTGCATAGGAAAATTTTTTTTTTTTTTTTTTTTTTTTATATAAAAGCTTTAGCCGGGTGCAGTGGTAACACCTATAATCCCAGCACTTTGGGAGGCCAAGAGGGGCAGATCATTTGAGGTCAGAAGTTTGAGACCAGCTTGACCTACATAGTGAAACCCCATCTCTACTAAAATACAAAAATTAGCCAGACTTGGTGGTGAGCACTTGTAATCCCAGCTACTCAGGAGGCTGAGGCGGGAGAATCGCTTGAACCCAGGAGGTGGAGGTTGCAGTGAGCCCAGATCACGCCACTGCACTCCAGCCTGGGTGACAGAGCAAGACTCCCTTTCAAAAAAAAAATAATAATTATTATAACAATAAAAGCTTCAACCTATGAAACAGGAAGACAAATTTAGACTAAAGAATTCTTTCAAAGATAAGATGAAACCTCTGTAAGTTTTAGATTTGCTTCTGGAGAAGAAATGGAGTTGAGCAGAAGTGGATTGGCTTGATGACACTTTTTGTTTTTTGAGACAGTGTTTCTCTCTTGTTGCCCAGGCTGGAGTGCAATGGCAGGATCTCAGCTCACTGCAACCTCCGCCTCCCAGATTCAAGCAATTCTCCTGTCTCAGCCTCCCAAGTAGCTGGGATTACAGGCACCTGCCACCACGCCTGGCTAATTTTTGTGTTTTTTAGTAGAGACAAGGTTTCACCATGTTGGCTAGGCTGGTCCTGAACACCTGACCTCAGATAATCCACCCACCTTGGCCTCCCAAAGTGCTGGGATTACATGCGTGAGCTACTGTGCTTGGCCGATCACCTTTTTTTTTAAACCCCGTAATAGTTGTTAACTTGAAGAGTGCTACCAAAAGTGATGGTGAGAAAGCTCTAGTATTGATATTAATCACCACAAATTGAAACTTCCAATGCTTAGTTTTTATGTGTTTTTTATTTAATCCTCACAATAATCCTTTGGGGTGTAGACATTTAGGTCTTCTGTTTTACAGATTGGAAAACCAAGGGTTAGAGCATAACTTACTCATGTTCACACCACTAACAAACAGATGTAGGTAGGCATCCAGAACCAGAGCCTGTGCTCTGAAGTCTAGGTGACAGGTGGTGACCAGAAAACTTAAAAGGGGAACTAAAAAAGTTGTCCATGACAACCATTAAACATGAGTAAGAACAACCTTTATTTAGAGTAATTTCTGGAAAAGTAAATTTATGGATTGGGAATGATGGTAGGGAGTCATTATACATCATTTTCATCATTTAAATAGTTTTAGTGCACATTTTCAGTTTCAGTAGGCACTTTATAGAGCTGTTGATAATGTCTATATTATATGGGTTTACAATTTAAGATAGGAAAATTATGCATTGAACTCTGATAAGCTGTTAAAGCATTGGAAAGCACAGCAAGCTTTTTGGTTTTCGTAAGTAGAAGTTAACAGCTTCCTCATCATTAGCCTTTAAACAGAAAGTAATAGCTAGACACTGCTTGTTTGTTTAGTGTCTGCTATGTTCAAGATGCTTTCTTGTACCTTATTGAAGATAAAAAGATGAATACGTTTGTCTTTCTGTCAACTGTAAAAGCTGTTGATTGAATAAAAAGGAAACTAAACCATTTCAGGAACAAACTGTTGTCTCCTTGCTAATGTTAATTTCTAAACATAGAATTCTATAGGAAAGTTTAAATTAATACATTTTATTACCTTATTGTATCATCTAAGTTAATAACAGGTGGATGAGATCTTCATTTCAAATGTTTGTTGTTCATTTTTTCTCAATCTCTAAATTATTTGACATTGTTTTTTATTATGAAGGAATTGTTCAAGTAAATAAAAGATACTTGGAAAGAAATAAGATGTTAAAATGCTTTGCCTCTTCATTTCTGGTGTATCTCTTTTCCTTAACTTTATTATGATAAAATAATTCCCCATTATAAAGTTAATGCAAGGAAAAGTGACTAACTTGGAGATGATCACACTTATGTTGCATCTCTAGAATTTATTTTTATGCAAATCATGATAATCTATAAGCAGACATCTACTTTTTTTTCCCCCTAGGGCATACATAATCTTGCTGCTATGCTTCGAAGCTGTAGTGTGAATCAACCTAAGTTTTAAACAGAAGGTGAACCTCTGAGGTCAGTTTAAATAGCAGTTGGTGTGTCTTCTTGGTGTTTCCTATTTATTTGTTAACTCTTAATTAAAGTTGTAAGTGAAATTAGTTTTCAAGGGCTCTGATAACCTATTTAACCTTAAAGGGCTCTAAAGGTGTACTTGGGAAACTGGAGAGGACACAAAGGGGAGGAAGAAGGAAACACTAAAGAGGGGTTAGAAAAAGAAATATATTTAACTTGGAACTGTACCCAAACCAGTTGTTGGCCTCATTTGTGCTATCTAGTGCCTATTTTGCCATATTCTAATAATGCCGTTGTAATTGATTAGTGTAACTTGAAGATGGGTACATTTGACTCATAAGGAAATCAAGGTAACAAAAGAAATACACCCCCCATAATCCACAGTGTTTTTCATTTGAGGGATTAGGATCTGCTGCAGATAGAACTATACCTGTATGGCATTCTGGGAATGCTGCGAAGACTGGAGTTGGAAACTTTTAAAGGCCTGAATTGTAATCTCCAGTTGTCCTAGTAGAGTTAATGTCTCTATTTTATTGTTATCCAACTTGCCTACTTTTTGTGATCCTGCAATACAAAGGCTTGCTTTTATCTTGTTTTTAGCATACAGGAAAGGATTAGTCGAGAAGGATTCATTTAGTAAACATTTATTAAATGCCTGCTATGAGCTAAGCCTTGGGATACAAAAATAAAGAAGAAACCATGCCCTGGTTGTGTGAGTCACTGGTTCTTGAACAGGGTTGTGTATCAGTATTTGATAAAGTACAAAGATATTAGACTTGTAAGACTTTTAAACCTTTTATTAGAAATGTTTTCAGACTAGCTTACAGAAAAGTTGAGCTAGTGTGATGATTCCCCCCCATACCATCTCCTAGATTTAATAGTTATTAACATAAAGTACCTTCCCTCCCATCTTTTCCATGCTATTTATATGTTAAGAAACCAGGTCTTGGAGGCTGTCTTTCTGGATTTATACAGTTTATCTCATTTCTTTATTCTGTAAAATTGCTTTATATTGTAAGTATAATCCAAAAGCTCAGTTGGACTCAGTTAAATATTTATTATGAGAATTCTTAGTGATTCTGTGAGCATAGTAGATACCTAATAATCTGTAGGGGTGGTATTTTGGCAACCTTGAATTTCTGATTTCTCATCAACTTTTTTTGTAAGGTTTCCTGAATTAATATTTTATTACTTTTGGCAATATGATAGTTTTCTAATTATATTCTGCATTTTTCATTTTTATTAGCTGTAATTACGAGGAAGAATTTTTCTTCATCAGCTGAAGCTGTTTGGTTACTATCTTAAAGGAATCTTGATTGGGGAGAAATGAAATCACTTTTTTCCTACATTCTTCAAAATAATTGTCCAGAAATTTATATTGTACAAAAAATGGAGTTTTTTTTTTTAAGTCTTTTTTGAGCTAAATTCATTGTTATGCTTGCCATCAAATTCTGAGACCAGCATTAACATAAAATTTTCTACCTCTCGTTCGGTACCCTAAAAATTCTAGTTGCCTCTGGCAAGCTATTGACAAGAATTTTAGACCTCTGATGAAATAAATGTATCATCATAAAATAATTTCTGATGTGAGGTTTTAAGATTAAATAACTCACTATAGTTTTTAAACTATGTTTAATTTATTGAAGATAGAAAATCAAGTATATTTTAAAAGAAGGGATGTGGGATCAAGGAGGACAGCCTTGGCAGCAGTGGCCCTTGAACCAGCAACAATGGATGCAGTCATTCCAGCACCAACAGGATCCAAGTAAGGAAACCAATTGAATTTGAAAGGGCGGGGTTGGATATGTGTAAATGGGTAGAAGACACATGATAGGGTTAAGGGATATGGAATTAAGATTGGTGTATTGGACCATTTTATGGTCAGAATTTAATGTTCTCATAAATAGCCTTGCCGTAGCTTATATAGCAGGAAATGGACTTCCCTTTGGAAGACTCTCAAAAGATAGAAAGCTTTTTGAAGATTTTACATTTTTTAAACTGATTTAGTCTTTGTTTTTCTAAAGAAAGAGAAAAGCCTAAAATATGTTGCTTATGAAGAACACACTTATGTGAATTCTCTTAAAGTTGTATATCATATTGAACTGGATGGTATGCTATATCATTTTAAAATATTCTTGCTATGGACTATTTCAGGCACACATAGAAAGGTAGAAGAGTATAGGGAGTCCCCCATTTATTACTTAGCTTTAACAATTATTAACTAGTGGCCAATTTTGTTTCATCTGTAAGACCACTTACATTATTGTGCCCTCGCTGGGTTAATCTGATGCTATTTCTTTTTTCAATAGCCACGTATCATTCTGTTATAGGATTGTAACATAATTTAACAAAGCCACTTTTGGATGTTTTATTATTTGTAGCTTTTCACTTTTTAAAACAATTAGCGTAATCATGTGTACATATCGTTATCCACTTGTCCAATTATTTTCTTATGAAAAGAGCTAGGTTTGTTAAGTCATGGTAATTTCAGATGCACATTGCCACATGTAACCCCATAGGGGTTATGCCAGTGTTTCAAACTGTATGAGAATATCTATTTAATCTTCATTAAAGTAAGATGCAGAAAAACATATCTTATTCTACTTTGTTTACTTTATTAATATTAGATCTTAATGCCTTTTTGAGTGGACTTGCAAAATAAAAAGTATTAAAAAGGTCTTGAAATGTTAAATATAGATACTTTGGAAGAGAGGTCAGGTGCGGTGGCTCACACCTGTAATCCTAGCACTTTGGGAAGCTGAGGTAGGCAAATTGCTTGAGGCCAGCCTGGGCAACATGATGAAACCCCGTCGCTACCAGAAATACAAAAATTAGCCAGGCTCATAACCCGGACTCTACATGGGTGGATGGATGGATGGATCATGGATGGATAGATGGGTGGATGGATGGATGGATGGATGGATGGATGGATGGATAGATAGAGAGAGAGAGAGAGAGAGAGAGAGATAGATAGATAGATAGATAGATAGATAGATAGATAGATAGATAGATAGATAGATAAAAATTTAAAAATTGAAAAAATATATCTTGGGGGAAGAGTGTCTTCAAGATAGTGGGGAAATGAACTTTGAGTAAAGATTGGCTAAGAAGTTGTAACCAGACTACACTAGTCATGTTTTGGCTAGAGAAGGGAGCCTTTCTTAAAGAAGGGCAACCATGAGGAAAAACAGAATTAGGTAGCTGCACTCATCCAAGGCCTATAGACTCGAATGCAGGCCTGGAAAGATAAATAGGACATGTTGAAGAAAGAAATGATAGCATTAGATTATTTTTGTGGTGTTTTTTTTTGTAAAGGTGATGACATTTAAAAACTCAGTAAAGTAAGATACAGGGGATAAATTTTAAATGAATTAATATTAGAAATGGGTTAAGAGTGTTCTTGTGGAGTTCTTTTCTGAAAGTGTTAAATAGTTATATTATTTTTTAGCCTGAATATGGGTTATTTGTTAAGCACCCTTTCAGACACAGTATGCTTTAATATTTAAGATCTCTCATTTAAAAAATTTTTTTCTAATTTCCCTCATACCCTCTCTGTCTGAAATATTTAAGATCTAAGGAATAATTGAGATGCTTGTTTTACATAGAGGCACTATTCTTTTAGCTCCTACATTCTGAATGTTGAATTCAATGTTAATTTACGTTAGGCCAGATTGACTGGGCTGCATTGGCCCAAGCTTGGATTGCCCAAAGAGAAGCTTCAGGACAACAAAGCATGGTAGAACAACCACCAGGAATGATGCCAAATGGACAAGATATGTCTACAATGGAATCTGGTCCAAACAATCATGGGAATTTCCAAGGGGATTCAAACTTCAACAGAATGTGGCAACCAGGTTTGTTGTTTATGTTTTCACAATTTTAGGACTTTTAAAAAACAAAATGAAGATTATTATGAAATTTTTAAATTTGCTTAGTAGTATGACTTCCCGAAATTAATGCTTCTTAAAAAATAGGCAGTTTTCAATTTGATTTGACTTTGACATTTTGTGGTTAAAATTATTCTGTACTCATTCTGCTAGCATTGTGGCACTCAGTTTGATTCATTTCTTGGTTCTTCATTCCTAGGCTGACAGGGGCTGGGAACACTCTGGAAACCTCACTTGGCATCTAGGGAAGAGAGCATTCTTTGTCTCTCTATTGCAACCTCTGGCCTTTTCAGAAGGAGCACTGGCAGAGTAAAACATGTCTAGCCTCTAATTAAAGAAAAATTGTGTCACTGTGTGACAAATTAGTCTGTCAAATATACTCTGCCCCGACCATCCGCCTACCTTTTTCTTCCCTTTTTTTTCAGATAGTGATCTTTCATAAGTTTTTGTGTGTTTTACTTTTTTGTTTGTTTTATTTCACAGTATGATGTAGATTTCTTGATGCTAATTCAGTCTTCCATGGCTTGTGTTATTCTTTTTTAATAGTCACTTGAAACTATGGAGGAATTAGCCTCACATTTGGGTATGCTGATGGTGAAGTCATAACCTCCTTTCCCTATTAATACTTTTTGTTTCTCCTTATAAGAATGGAGACCTCAGTTGAGACCAGCCTGGGCAACATAGCAAGGCCCTGTCTCTACAAAAAAAAAAAAAAAAAAAAAAAAATTAGCCAGGCATAGAGGCGCGTGCCTGTAGTCCCAGCTACTCAGGAGGCTGAGGTGGGAGGATTGCTTGAGCCTAGGAGATTGAGACTGCAGTGAGCTGTGATCACGCCACTGCACTCCAGCGTGGGTGACAGAATGAGTCCCTCATTTAAAATGAAAAATATGAGAATTCAGATTACTTTTAAAAACATAAATATTTTAGTCTTTGATACTGTGAGGTAGTTCGTTTCTAGCTTTCTTGAAAATGAAATTTCCCCACATTTGAAAATGCTTTCGTTCCTACGTTTAAGTTCTTAAATGACTCCCCCTGGCATCCCTACCCCTTAGTTTTACTCTACTTTGTGACCCCGGGCAAGTGGTTTACCTCTGTGTGCCTCAATTTTGCCTCCCGAAATTGGCAAAAATAATACCTGATTTCTCCCTACCTCACAGGGATGTTGTGAGGATAAATGTGTTCGTGTAAGAAAGAAATTATATAAAACCTCAAGGTATTATTTTTGTGGTGTTGTTACTAAACAAAAATATAAAAATTCAACAAAAATAGTGCTTTGGATTTTGGTACATTTGTTAAAAATAACGTTGGGCATTTGGTTAGGATATGAATTAGAGTGGAGTTAGCTCATTTTGAATTACATATGACAGTTTAGTTTATTGCTTATTTTTAAGACAAAAGGAGTTTGACCAAGAAGTCATAAGTTGTTTTTTAAATCTGTATGTTTACTGAAAAATCTTTCTTGAGATCTTAAAATTTTGTGTTGATTTTGTTATAACCCCCTGTTGAATGTTTTTATGCCTAAATCTTAAATAGAATGGGGAATGCATCAGCAACCCCCACATCCCCCTCCAGATCAGCCATGGATGCCACCAACACCAGGCCCAATGGACATTGTTCCTCCTTCTGAAGACAGCAACAGTCAGGACAGTGGGGAATTTGCCCCTGACAACAGGCATATATTTAACCAGAACAATCACAACTTTGGTGGACCACCCGATAATTTTGCAGTGGGGCCAGTGAACCAGTTTGACTATCAGGTGAAAGATATTTTGTTGCTTTAATATTGTAGATGTGCACGTAATCCATTCTTTGGAAGTGTCTCATCAAGAATACCTAAGATACGTGTTTCACTTTTCAGACTTGTGTAAATAAGCACATTCTGTCTCAGAAAAGTTATCAATTTTTGAGTATTAAAATAGTTAGAATTTGTTTTCTGATTTTCTTACTTCATTAGGAAAATGGTATAAAAGATCATTAGGGAAAATTTTTGAAAAAAATGTGTAAGTGCAATAGCTATACGATGTTTTGTTTTCTAATTTATATTTCAAAATGGTATATTTAAATGTTAAAGACTAGAAAATGCACACTAATTGAATATAGCTTATGGTTAAGACATGAATAAAACACATCAACATAGATCATTTTCCTAAGTGTAATTCCTTGTGCTATGTAGAATTATGACTGTTTTTCTAGTGTCATTTTTTTTTCCATTCTGACATGACATGTTAATGGAATTGTATATAATTTCCTCTGTAGCATCTAATTCATTCCTAGGGACATAGAACTCTGTGGGGAATAGTGTCATATGCTGGGCTTTATTTACTTTATTCCCTCTGCCAGGTTCTACCCTTAAATTATAGTGCTAGTTGTCATTTTGAAGTAACTGACTGCAATTATTAACTTATAAACTGCTATCATAATTTAAAATTTTGAAAGAAAAATCATTATTTTGTGAATTCTAAGGTAGATTTGATAATGGACATATAATATTCACCTTGAGATGGTAATCCTCTCGTTAATAAATATTCAGATACTTGTTGTATACTTGGTATACAGATAAAACAGTTTTTATCTTGTTTGAAGAAATGTAATGGCAGGGAACATCTGCTTACCCTACTTTTGTGTGGTAGATCCCATGTAAACAAGACAAAGAGCTGTATTGGCAGCTGGCCTAGAAAAGCCTCTGAAATAGCAAAATTGCAGAAAATATTTAATGATTCGGTAACTTCTATCTTTGCTTATAAATGAATATATCTGCAAGATTATAGAAACACCTTAAATTGTTTAGTTCACTTTTTGTTCACTGTAAGTAGGGTGTTGAAATTGACAAAAATGTCTAGGTAAAGAAAAATTAGTATCTATTTGATGTCTTAGTGTTGGTAGGATTAGCTTGTAAATGGATTTGGAATGAAAAATTTCATATACTTCTTCAAAGTAGCTTATTAGGTGGCTTTTAGAAGCCTCTTTGCATTTACATAGCCAGAAAATCTTAAGAAAAGTAAGCCTAGGTTCTTGGGACTATAGAAGTATCGGTGGATATTAGAGCCATGGAATTCTTGGATGTGCTGCACACATGGATTTCTACTGTCCCAGTTCATAACACACGTGTGTCCCAGAGAGTATATTGTATTAATTTGAAGAAAAAATAAACTGCAATACTCTTTCAGCATGGGGCTGCTTTTGGTCCACCGCAAGGTGGATTTCATCCTCCTTATTGGCAACCAGGACCTCCAGGACCTCCAGCACCTCCCCAGAATCGAAGAGAAAGGCCATCATCATTCAGGGATCGGCAGCGTTCACCTATTGCACTTCCTGTGAAGCAGGAGCCTCCACAAATTGGTAGCTATTTAATTAGTTTAGTGGACCACAATTGGCATGACTTTTTTTAATCATTTTATAAAAGGGATGTCTTATTTTATTAAAATTGTTCAAGTATCTCTGATGTGTTAGGAATTGACACTTTATTTATTTTTTATGGTCATAAAGCTTAAATTCACAAAAATGATACTGGGCTAAAATATTAAAAGGTTTAAATAATTTTCTTTAAATCTTTACATTAAATTCCAGATTTTGTGATGAAGTGCAAATTTATGCTAGCCATATCATTTTGATATTTTCTTCACTGTGGGCATTTCAGTACATTATGCAGATACATGAGCCCTTCTCCTTTTAAACCTAATTGTTCAGTCTCTGTCCACTCTCAGTTCATCTGATGCACTGCTGTCAGATTAATTTTCCTCTGCTTATTTCACTTCCCCTAAGTGTTTTGGCAGAAAATTTCAATTTTTAAATACCATTTTAGAGCCAGCCTATTTCAAGTGACAAATACATATTTATGCCACTTTATATCCGGAAAGTTCTAAATCGTTCAGTATTTAATGAACAGGAGCATGTATTAATAAATCTTTATTTTTTACATTTTAGAAAGAGTCTAACTTTACAGCTTTTTTAACTTACTAGCAAATCACTTAATTTTTTCGAGTCTCAGTTTCCTCACCTGTGGAAGTAAGTGGAGTAATAGTAGTGATCTCTGAGGGCTTTTGTAAGGATTAAATTAGATGATGGTTTAACATGCTTTCATGGTGTCCTGGCAGATTGTAAGCACTAGAGCAGTGTTCCCTACTGTTATTAAAAGTGATGGCATTTAAGAAAACCTGATATTTAATGGGATATTTTTTAAATTTACTCACAAGTTTGTAGAAATATTTTACTTAATTGACTTGTGTATATTCCCATGTGAAACAGACGCAGTAAAACGCAGGACTCTTCCAGCTTGGATCCGTGAAGGCCTTGAAAAAATGGAACGTGAAAAGCAGAAGAAATTGGAGAAAGAAAGAATGGAACAACAACGTTCACAATTGTCCAAAAAAGAAAAAAAGGCCACAGAAGATGCTGAAGGAGGGGATGGCCCTCGTTTACCTCAGAGAAGTAAATTTGTAAGTAGAATCCCCAACAGGAAATGCCATGTGATAATCTTGTTTGTGTGAAAACTTTACTGAAATAGATATTTTATTTTAGTCTATAGGAAAGTATTAGAGTGATGTTCCTAAGATTACGTTCATTAAGTGTATTGAGGATTATGTTTTTATATATGTGTTACTAAAGATACAGTAAGGAGAAAATGGAAAACAAGTTTATAAACATTTCATTCCAGAGAGCTGGCTAAATCTTGATAAACAATCTGTATTCATTCATGATGGTACAGGTGACACCCTAGTGGTAGATTATAAAACAAATCTACCTTAAAATAGTAATAGAGAAATATAATCTCCCTCTTTTGAACATTTAAACATATACCTGAGGATGTCATAATTTTTATTGTTTTTGACATGAGCACTGGAAGTATAACAACATTTTAAAGTCTTTAAATCTTCATCAGTTAGATGGCTTGAGTGGTTTAGGAACTTTTTTATTCAGCAGGTATGATACCCACAGCACTGGCCAGTATGCAACTCAGAAAATTGGTCTGTCTTCCACGGCCATTTTGTGGTTTAGAAATAAGTCTGAAGAAGAGCAGAATAACTAGATTTTGGCAGGCTTTAGTTTCGCTTAAATTCCGTAAATTACTTTTATTTTCCCCAAAAGACATATACCAAATCTGTGTTTCTCTTCTAGATGTTAATTTATAAAATAAGAAACAACAGAAAAACACTGTTGAAGCTTACTCTTTTTGTCTTTTTAGGCAGTTGGGGGATCAGGGCCTCACTCTGTTGCCCAGGCTGGAGAGCAGTTGCACAATCATAGCTCACTCTAACCTTGAACTCCTGGACTCAATCAGTCCTCTCAACTCAGCCTTCCAAGTGCATAGCTAGGACTACAGGTGCACACCACCACTCCCACCTAATTTTTGTATTTTTTGTAGAGATGGGGTTTCACCGTGTTGCCCAGACTGGTCTTGAACTCCTGGCTTCAAGTGATTCTCCCACCTTGGCCCCCCAAAGTGCTAGGATTACAGACATGAGGCACTCTGCCCACTCATTTTTTAAAAAAAAAATCCTTACATGAAATAGTGGTGTTCCAAATTTTTTTAAGCATCAAAAATTTGTTTGGAAATTATCCTTCCTCTTTCCTCCCAAATGCCTGTGGGATTGTGTTACATATATTTTTCCCCTGGTTCAGGTAGTCTTTCCACAGTAGTATCTAGGTGGTCATCTTGTCTTTTACATACTAGGATTATTAAAAGTGACTGGGGACACTTCTCTGACAAAGGAAAGAGTCACATGCTATCTGGATCTTGAAACCTAAAACCATACAAAGACAGGAGACAAACTGCTGGCATTTGTTTAATCTGAAGTAGACCTTGTTTTTATCTTTTCATTATGGAGCTAAAAAGAAGCAAGTTTTACTGAGTTTCAGGGCCAGCTGAGAACTTGGCCCTGAAAAGTGTGATTAGAGATTTTTCATTTTAAGTTGTGCAACTTTAGATAAATAGCTTAAATATATAGCTGTAAAAGTTATACTGAATAATATGTCTATGGTCCATTTATCCAAAGTTCTATAAGCCTCTCAGGCCCATTATATGTAATAGATAATAATTAAATCAGTCTCTGGGCATTACGTTTTTCTGGGTATTTATAAAATAAGTTTAAAATTGACTAAGGGAAAAAGAAAATTGAAAAAATAATTTATTTTCCTAAGCCATCTTGTAATCTTACATTTTTCCCAGGTTATACTTTTTAAATTATCAAATGAAATCTGTAATAAATATAATTTAAATAGCAATTTCACTCATATTTCTGCTTCACAGGCTTTTTAGTTTGGGGTTTAAGATTTTCTGTATGTAAGATAAGGATTTTACATTATACACATGAATTTGGACTACCATACTACTATTTTTATAGGATAGTGATGAGGAAGAAGAAGACACTGAAAATGTTGAGGCTGCAAGTAGTGGGAAAGTCACCAGAAGTCCATCCCCAGTTCCTCAAGAAGATCATAGTGACCCTGAGATGACTGAAGAGGAGAAAGAGTATCAAATGGTAGAATGTTAAAGTTCTTACTATGTACACGGATTTATTTTGTTTGCAATTTTTTTTTGGAGACAATATTAGAGGAAAAAATAGAAACTAGAACTGCTGACCAATATTATTAATTAAAGAGAAGCTCCTTTTAACTTAAAACAATTATAGAAACTTTCATTAATAGGGACTTTTTTAAATGTTTTGATTTCAGGCTGGGGTAATCCTAGTACTTCACGGGGGCCCAAGGCAGGGGGATTGCTTGAGTCCAGGAGTTCAAGACCAACCTGGGCACTATAGTGAGACCTTGTCTCTACAAAAAATTAGCCAGGCATAGTGAGGTGCACCTGTAGTCCCAGCAACTCAGGAGGTGGTGGGAGGATTGTTTGAGCCTGGGAAGCGGAGGTTGCAGTGAGCTGAGGTGGTGCCACTGTATTCCATCCTGGGTGACAGAGTGAGACCCTGTCTTAGAAAAAAAGAAAAAAGTGTTTTGAATTCAGTGTCTCTACTATACAGTAGAGTATACTGTATCTGTATACTATACAGATACATTCATAATATTTTTTTCTTTGATCCATATGATTTTGGAATCTTTTTTTTTTTCTTTTGGAGACGGAGTCTCGCTCTGTTGCCCAGGCTAGAGTGCAGTGGTGGGATCTCGGCAAACTGCAACCTCTGCTTCCTGGGGTTCAAGCAGTTCTCCTGCCTCAGCCTCCCAAGTAGTTGGGATTACAGGTGCCCACCACCATGCCCGACTAATTTTTTGTATTTTTTTAGTAGAGACAGGGTTTCGCCATGTTGTTCAGGCTGGTCTCAAACACCTGACCCCAGGTGATCTGCCCACCTCGGCCTCCCAAAGTGCTGGGATTAGGGATTACAGGCGTTAGCCATTGCACCCAGGCTAGAATTTTTTTGAAGTTTTGATGTTAACAGAAAAAGGTTCAGGATACTTTATTCCTTGGAATGGCTGCTCTGATGTCTAAAAATATTTTATAAATTGGCTTTGTGGCTGGGCATGGTGGCTCACGCCTGTAATCCCAGCACTTTGGGAGGCCAAGGCAGGCAGATCACTTGAGATCAGGAGTTTAAGACCAGCCTGGCCAACATGGTGAAACCCCGTCTTTACTGAAAATACAAAAATTAGCTGGGTGTGGTGGTGCACACCTGCAGTTCCAGCCACTTGGGAGACTGAGGCAAGAGAATCGCTTGAACCCAGGAGGTGGGGGCTGCAATGAGCCAATATCACGCCATTATGATCCAACCTGGGCAACAGAGTGAGACTCTGTCTGGAAAAAAAAAAATGACTTTGTATTTTAATATTTTTGAAGGTGTCACACTATTGGTAGCTATAATCATTAGAAATACTGTATAAAATGCTCTTTTTTAGATGTTGCTGACAAAAATGCTCCTGACAGAAATTCTACTGGATGTCACAGATGAAGAAATTTATTACGTAGCCAAAGATGCACACCGCAAAGCAACGAAAGGTATATTTTGGTGTTTTTGATTTTGCTTTTCCTGGGGTATTTTGGTTCTGATGACTATTTTGGACTTTTTTTGTTGTCCTTGTTGGATTTCTACCAGATATTTGAATATTCTCTTGCATGTTTTAACTCTTAAAGATTAGATATGTAGACACCATATTAAAGCTATACAAATATTTTTGTTTTATCTGACCTACATGAGTACAAATTAGCAGTCATGCTGTTGTCCTCTAAAATGTATTGTGGAAAATTCCTGATGTTCAGTTTATTTCACCTGATTTTTTTTATAGATAACATGGCATTGTATGACTTCTGATACAGTTTATTTTGACTAATGAATTTTGAATTATCAACCTTCAGTTTTACCAGTTATCTCTTACAGAAGCAAGTGATTCCCTACCCCTATATTTTAGTAACACCTTAAAAAATGTATTGAAAACAAAAATTAAGTTACATGTCATAATCTCAGAAATAGACTTACAGATATACTTGTCAACATTTTTTCTCATTATAAACCAATTTCAGCTCACATCAGAGTTATAATTTCAGAGCCAGACATGATACTGGTTTAAAATGAATGTTATGTTTTTAATGTTTCTTCTCTCCCCAAAAAGCAGCAATAGTAGTAGATTTAACAATACCATAGACTCATGACTATGAAATCGTGGCTATTTGTGTTAACATGTTGTTCCTGTTGTTGATGTGATACAAAGCTCCTGCAAAACAGCTGGCACAGTCCAGTGCACTGGCTTCCCTCACTGGACTCGGTAAGTGTTTTCCATATTTGTGAAAGGGCCTAAAGGGAAAAATCACACATACATTGTCTCTCTACGTGTTCTGTTTTGAAACTGTATTAGTCCTACTCAGTTTATAAAAACCTAGGTCTTAGGGTTATGTCATCCTGTCTAAAAAGGTTTGCCTATTTTTTTGACTGACTCATTCACAGTGAGAAATTTATAAATGTGATGGTTAATTCATAGTTTATTGGGGCAAGTTATATTGGAAGATTTCCTTATTGCTCCAATATATGCATTTTATATATATATATAAAATTATATATGAACACCTATAGTTTGTACTTGATAATTCATAATTTAGCCATGATAATATCTAAGCTCACTTTCAGAATTATTGCATACATGCCTTAGGGAAGAACCTATCCACTAATGTTTTTAATAACTTACATAGATTGTGTTGTGGCAAGTCAAGTTTTAATATACAGGAAAGGGTTTATCTTATAGTAAAACAGTAGTGATGTGTTCATAATTTACTATTTGCATGGTATATTATCAAGGCTGTAAAAGCCTGAATTTGCCTTTTCCACATCTTCATTTCAAATTAATTTTTGTGAGGACGCAGAGAAGTGGGTAGAACCAAATGCCCATGTGGTTTTTGTTATGGTTATTTATATCATTTCAGGGTGGGGAGTAGTTTCAGCACTATAATATTTCTGTACCAGGGAGATTATAGTATTCTAATTTTTTCAGGGAAAAATTGCTTAGCTCTAGGGATTTCTAAACTTTGAACAATAAAAGTTAGTTTTAGAAATACTTTCAGGGTCATGATTAAGCCTTAGTGTGGCTTTGTTACTGCCCTGTTAAGTAGTTTTGTTGGTTAGTATGGACAGTATAGCAAACCCATTATGATTCCTTTACAGTGAGAAAGATATGAAATAGTCCAGAAAGAATAAGATATTAAGTAACCTTTGCCTGAAGGTTCTGTGAACTCCTTAAGCATTTGAATGTATACTTCTCCCCACCCCGAATAAGCATATTCTTCTGGGAAAAGGCAATGAAAAAAGAAATGAGCTTTCTTCTCAGACCTTGAAAAGTTTTTAGTGCATAGTATAACTTTTTTCATATGATAGACTGAGCTTTATGCACACAGGTGGACTGGGTGGTTATGGATCAGGAGACAGCGAAGATGAGAGGAGTGACAGAGGCTCTGAGTCATCTGACACTGATGATGAAGAATTACGGCATCGAATCCGGCAAAAACAGGAAGCTTTTTGGAGAAAAGAAAAAGAACAGCAGCTATTACATGATAAACAGATGGAAGGTGTAGTATACCTTTTAGACTTAATTTTGGTCCAGTTTTGTATTTCTTTTTATTTTTTAACCAACCTAAAAATATCAAAGGATAAAATAAAGGCTATATTATAAATAACATGTGATATAACTGAAACTAAAGTCAGAATTTTTGTTTGGTTGTTTTAGGAGCCATTCATTGCAGTGGCTATAAGCCAAGCTATTTAGGGTATTTTTATTTCTTGTTAAAATTCTTGAAATGAAAAAGATTACTTTTGAAATGGGAAAAATATATTTGTAAGACTATTGAAAAGTAATTTGTAGCTAGGATATATAAGGATAATAGAGAACCTAGAAGTTTTTTACTTAAGATACTTTACATAATAGGAATAACAAAAAAGAAAATTTACTTAGAATTTCTTCTTTGAAAAATCTAAGAAAGGTAATTAAGAGTTAGCAGCTAAGACTTCCCTATAAACCACTTATATTTACCTTTAAAATTTTGCTTTAGTTGGACAAAAGGGAAGTCTTTTCCTACTTGCCTCACACGCATCTCTACATCTTGATACTGTATTTTGCTACACTGTCCAGCAGGGTAACTTAACTAACTACAAGCTATAGAGGACTTGAAATGTAGCTAGGCATATGCTGTAGGTATAAATTACATGCTAGATTTCAAAAGCTTTACTTGAAAACAGAATTTTAAAAAATTTATTATGTGTTGAAATGATAATATTTTTGGTATATTAGGTTATTTTAGTTGTTTCTTTTTTAATGTGGTTACTAAAAAATTTTGAATTACTTATATGGCTTGCATTGTAATTCTGTTGAAAGTGGTGTTCTGTTGTTGCAGTCTGGTAGCTTGACATTTGGTAGTATGAGAATTTTACATTCACATTTTCTTAGTGTTTTTGTCTTTTTCTGTTTCAGAAGAAAAGCAACAGACAGAAAGGGTTACAAAAGAGATGAATGAATTTATCCATAAAGAGCAAAATAGTTTATCACTACTAGAAGCAAGAGAAGCAGACGGTGATGTGGTTAATGAAAAGAAGAGAACTCCAAATGAAACCACATCAGTTTTAGAACCAAAAAAAGAGCATAAAGAAAAAGAAAAACAAGGAAGGAGTAGGTCGGGAAGTTCTAGTAGTGGTAGTTCCAGTAGCAATAGCAGAACTAGTAGTACTAGTAGTACTGTCTCTAGCTCTTCATACAGTTCTAGCTCAGGTAGTAGTCGTACTTCTTCTCGGTCTTCTTCTCCTAAAAGGAAAAAGAGACACAGTAGGAGTAGATCTCCAACAATCAAAGCTAGACGTAGCAGGAGTAGAAGCTACTCTCGCAGAATTAAAATAGAGAGCAATAGGGCTAGGGTAAAGATTAGAGATAGGAGGAGATCTAATAGAAATAGCATTGAAAGAGAAAGACGACGAAATCGGAGTCCTTCCCGAGAGAGACGTAGAAGTAGAAGTCGCTCAAGGGATAGACGAACCAATCGTGCCAGTCGCAGTAGGAGTCGAGATAGGCGTAAAATTGATGATCAACGTGGAAATCTTAGTGGGAACAGTCATAAGCATAAAGGTGAGGCTAAAGAACAAGAGAGGAAAAAGGAGAGGAGTCGAAGTATAGATAAAGATAGGAAAAAGAAAGACAAAGAAAGGGAACGTGAACAGGATAAAAGAAAAGAGAAACAAAAAAGGGAAGAAAAAGATTTTAAGTTCAGTAGTCAGGATGATAGATTAAAAAGGAAACGAGAAAGTGAAAGAACATTCTCTAGGAGTGGTTCTATATCTGTTAAAATCATAAGACATGATTCTAGACAAGATAGTAAGAAAAGTACTACCAAAGATAGTAAAAAACATTCAGGCTCTGATTCTAGTGGAAGGAGCAGTTCTGAGTCTCCAGGAAGTAGCAAAGAAAAGAAGGCTAAGAAGCCTAAACATAGTCGATCGCGATCCATGGAGAAATCTCAAAGGTCTGGTAAGAAGGCAAGCCGCAAACACAAGTCTAAGTCCCGATCAAGGTAGTATACTTTTTAAAGTATTTTGTCTGATTTTTTAAAAAATTTGACTGAATTTATTCAAAGTTGAAAGTGTCCTTTCTCTCTCTCTTTAATAAACTCAGTTTGGTACTTGATAAATAATCATAGTCTTAAATGTTAGAAATCCTATATAATATTATTTATTTAAAATTGCAGATTTTTAGTTTAAAATACATTTTTATTTTTAAATTTTGTCTTTTCCCTTTTTTTTCAGATCAACAACCCCTCCCCGTCGTAAACGCTGAGGAATGATGTGGCAAGAATGCCATGATGTTGTTTAAAAAAATTCCATGAGTTTTAAGGGCTTGTCTCATTATAGAGGCACATTGTGGCTGTGTAGGTGAAACCAGAATCTTTTTTTTTTTTTAATCTGTAAATAGGTGTACTTTTTCCAATGCTGCTCCAAGTTACTTAATAGGATTTCTTTGTATTACATTTTTTTCAAAAAATATAGTGCATAATAAGACTATAAACATGCCATTCTCTTTCAGCTGTAATGTTCTTAAAATTATTCTTGAATGTACTGTGATGTCAATAAAGCTCTTTAGTTCATTTTTGTTAAACTCTTGCACCTTAATTTTATGGTTTTAATCTAAGGAACGTACTTTTATCAAAAGGCAGCTGGAATTTTGTATAACAGGTTTTAAAGGTACCTTCTCTCACCTCCCCCAAAGAAAATGGTTTTTACTTAATAGTTTGTCAAAGTTTGTAAATTGTACCCATGGACTTTTGTCAGATTCCAACTTTAAGGCTATGAAAGAGGGCTAGAAATAGACCTTTACTTTTCATTTGGAAGTATTTGACAACTTTCTAAACTTTTCTTCCTATTTTGGGGATTTTCAAGTAATATATTCTCTGTGTGTATAACGTGTGGTTCACTCCTGTAAAATGAAATTGCTGGAATCAATCAAGCCAGTGCACCAGTAGAGTTATTTGTAAGGAACGATTGTGTTTGACACTAATAGTCAAGTCTGGAACTATATTCTACAGTCACTTCTGTTTTAGAAGCATTTTGAAACACTTTTTGGGGTTATGGAAATAAGACTCATGATTCAATATATTTATTTATATTTTTAAAGTATAATATGACCTCAAATTAATGGAGGAATGCTGTATTATGCAGGTTTGTGTCAATTTCATGACATTAAAATTGTCTGATTTTGTCCGTTTCTTAAAATTATAATTAGTGAGTGGTCTAACAGTTTAAGGCATTGATAACTTACGAGTAGAATGGGGCCCTCAAAGCATTTTAACTCAGTTGCTTTCAGGGTCCTTTTTTTTTTATGTAATCACTTATTCAGTGATAAATGAATCTCTGAAAACAAATGCTTTTACATTTTAATTTTAAAAGAAAACAGGTGCAGGCCACAGAAAAGTTTTAAAGTATGCCTTCTTACCAGCAATAGTTAATTTTAAAAATCATGCCAGATTTTTGCCAAGATCAGTGTTTCCTCAACATGAAGATAGAAATAGATTTGTATAGTGTGCTCTTGTACCTCTACATAGGTTATTATATAATTTTGAGCAGTTATACATTTATCTAAAGGAAATAAATCAACTGTGAATAAATGCATGTTTACCAAAATGGCTGTTTACAGTGCATTTAGTTCTGATATTTATAAAGATGACATTTCACAGAATAACTTTAAAATAGTTTGGAATTCTATATAGTCTAGACATCAATCACATCTGGAGACAAAATAAAGGAAAATGTGCAATATTTTTTATGTAGGCGAGCTAACACAGTGTACCTAATTACAGAATTATCTGATTAATTTGTAATAGATAAGTTGTATAACATTTTCATATCTTAAAATGTTTTTTAGATCAATCTTGAAGTGAAATATTATTTTCAAAATAAAATTCTACAGAAAAATTCTGTTGGCTATGATATGCACATTTTTGGGCAAGATATGAACTAGAGCCAAAAGTAGTATTTGACAGTTTTATTTACTCTGCCGTAATTTGCAAGTTTATCAGTTAAATCTGTAGTTTTTTTAAAAGCCATCATGACATTTGTGATTATTAGTACATAAATCAGTGTTATAATTTGATATTTGGGTTTTTCAGACTTTTAGTGCCAGATTTAGAGAATTCATTATTTTCTTGACATGCGATATAGTATTTACCTTGAGTGGTAAGGTTTTATAAGGTAGGGTTTTCATGATTTAGGATGTGAATGCGAAAACTTACATAAAAGTTAGATGTATAATTTGGTTATGAAATATTTTCTAAAATAACACCACCAGAAAATTAACAGATTAAATTTTTGAGACAATCCTTGGTCTGGATTGGTTAATGAAAATGTCTTCCTTAAGAGGTTCTATTAAAAAAATATTTCTAGTGTGTTAGTTGTAATTGTTTTTGTGGAGTGGGGGTAAACCACACCATTGAGGGAATAAAATGTAATTTGAAAGAGGTGATTATAAGATTTGTTTCAGGCCCCAAAATATAAATAAAAATTGGTGTGGAATCTCATTAGTGTATATGTTTTCTGCCACTATAAAATTACCTTTTTAGCATGTTTCTAGTGGTGTAATACCAAGTAGGTAAATTTCGCAGTCTGTTTTTAGTGTCCTGAGTTTTTTGTTTCCTTAAACACGTGAAAGGTAATAGTAAAGAATTTTTTTTGGCTGGGTGCGGTGGCTCACGCCTGTAATCCCAGCACTTTGGGAGGCTGAGGTGGGCAGTTCATGAGGTCAGGAGATCGAGACCATCCTGGCTAACACAGTGAAACCCCGTCTCTACTAAAAATACAAAAAATTAGCTGGGTGTGGTGGCCGGCGCCTGTAGTTCCAGCTATTGGGGGGGCTGAGGCAAGAGAATGATGTGAACCCAGGAGACGGAGCTGGCAGTGAGCCGAGATTGTGCCACTGCACTCCAGCCTGGGCGACAGAGCAAGACTCATCTCAAAAAAAAAAAAAACTTTTTATTGTATTTGGGAATTTTTACATAGGAGTTGTATTAGGTTTACAGTCCCTGTAGTGTTGCCTTATGGAAATCTTTACATCTAAACTGAGTTTTTCTTCTCTTAGATAAACTTAAATGTATTTATTGAAGTTTCTAAAATGTACTGAGTACAGTCATATACCACATAATGACGTTTCAGTCAGTGACAGGCCACATATACAACAGTGGTCCCATAAGATTATAATGTGGTATTTTTCTGTACCCTTTCTGTGTTTAAATACACAAAACCATTGTATTACAGTTGCCTACGGTTTTCAATATAGTATTTGTAGCCTAGGAGCGATAGGCTATACCATGTAGCCTGGGTGTGTAGTAGTCTATACCATCTAGGTTTATGTAAGTATACTCTATGATGTTCACATCACAATGAAAGCACCTAATTACACATTTGTCACATGTCCCCAAGTTAAGCAATATATGACTGCATAGTTACTGTTTTTTGGTTTTTGCGATGGAGTCTTGCTGTCACCCAGGCTGGAGTGCAGTGGCGCAATCTTGGCTCACTGCAACCTCCACCTCCTGGGTTCAAGTGATTCTCCTGCCTCAGCCTCCTGAATAGCTGGGATTATAGCACCCGCCACCACACCTGGCTAATTTTTGTATTTTTAGTAGAAACGGGGTTTCGCTATGTTGGCCAGCTGGTCTCGAACTCCTAGTCTCAGGTGATCCACCCGCCTTGGCCCCCCAAAGTACTGGGATTACAGGCGTGAGCCATCGCTCCCAGCCGACTGCGTAAATGGAAGTATTAAGAGTCATTGGATTGAGCTGGCTCTGTTTCTTGATGTGTTTTAGGCAAATCACTAATCACCATGGGCCTTAACTTATTCAGCTGTAAGGGAGGAATTAGATGCGGTTTTTGTTTTGTTTTGGGATGGAGTCTCACTGTCACCAGGCTGGAGTGCAGTGGCGTGATGGCTCTGCAACCTCCGCCTCCCGGGTTCAAGCAACTCTCCTGCCTCAGCCACCCAAGTAGCTGGGACTACAGGCATGTGCCATTATGCCCAGCTAATTTTTGTGTTTTTAGTAGAGACAGGGTTTCATCATGTTGGCCAGGATGGTCTTGATCTCTTGACCTCGTGATCCGCCTGCTTCGGCCTCCCAATATGCTGGGATTGCAAGTGTGAGCCATCGCACCCGGCCAAATTAGATTATTTCTAAACACATCCAGCTGTTAAGTTTTTCAGTTTTAAGTGGAATTTGGTTGTAATGTGTAAAATTTAAGAGAGAAAATGGGCTTTAGCTCTTTAAAAAGCACACATGGGTTATATTTATACCATAAAGGTTTATCAGATACCTGTAGAGTTCCTTTAAAGATACTTTGGTTAAATCTGCCACATTCTGATTTTGGTAGTTATGATAGAATTATTCTGAGTTACCAATTTATGTAAAATTTTTAAGTAAATGTGAAAACTTACCAGTTAAACTAGTGGTATATCTTTTTTTTCTTTTTTTTTTTTTTTTTGGAGACAGAGTCTTGCTCTGTTGCCCAGGCTGGAGTGCAGTGGTGTGATCTAGCTTACTGCAACCTCTACCTCCCAAACAATTTTCTTGCCTCAGCCTCCCAAGTAGCTGGGATTACAGGCTTCCATCACCATGCTCAGTTAATTTTTGTATTTTTTGTAGTAGAGGTGGGGTTTCACCATATTTGCCAGGCTGGTCTTGAACTCTTGACCTCAGATGATCCATCCACTTCGGCCTCCCAAGGTGCTGGGATTACAGGCATTAGCCTCTGCACCCAGCTGTTTATGATTTCAAAGCTACAAGGGAGCACTTTACCCTTGGATGAAAAGAAAAAATGTTTGTAAAATTGAATTACAAAATAGACATTAAGAGTTTTATGGCAGAATAAATATGTAGACTCTTACAGGTGAGATCATAATAATAGTCTGGGGAAGTATCTCCAACAATGGCCATATGCTGCATTACAGCCAATACAACTTTCCAATACCACTTAGGTTTAAGAGTCATTGGGAAAACCTTTTGTTGATGTTTGTAGGGAGAAGTACTATTAGCTAGTTTTGCTTATCTGGGCCAGACTAGTTCTGGGTGTTCAAAAGACGTACTTCTTGTCAGCATTAAGGCAAATTATTGATTCCCTTTCTTGTTAAACTGAAAATGTATTGGAAAGGCTTTGAAGCCCATTGAAGTGTGGTACATTCAAAGTACGTACGTACAAAGCTGCTAGAACTTTATTTAATCATGCTTGTAGTTTGCTTTTTCCTTGGATGTGTCACTCCAATAAATGTAACACATGCTACATTTTCTTTTGTGCAGAGCTTTCTGCCTTCATGTGGAGAGATGATCATGTATCTAAGGGTAGAGGAGCTCTGAAGAGGACATAGCAACTGAAAAGTGCGACCACTCTTAGGAGGAGGTCAATATTTTAGCTAAGAACCATAAATGAAAGACTCTTCCTGTCTGGGTGGGGTGGCTCACACCTGTAATCCCAGAACTTTGGGAGGCTGAGGCAGGCAGATCACCTGAAGTCAGGAGTTTGAGACCAGCCTGGCCAACATGGTGAAACCCTGACTGAAACTACAAAAATTAGCCGGGAGTGGTGGCATACACCTGTAATCCCAGCTACTCAGGAGGCTGAGGCACGAGAATCACCTGAGCCTGGGGGTGCGGAGGTTGCAGTGAGCTGAGATAGTGCCACTGCACTCCAGCCTGAGCAACAGAGTGAGGCTGTCTCAAAAACAAAAACAAAAACAAAAACTATTCCTGAATGGTAAATTTCACTAATTGAAAGAACCCTTTACCAATTTGACCCTGCCTGGTGAAAATACGAAATATTTTTTTGCCTTCAATGTTGGAGATTTGTCATTGTTCTTGCCCAAAGAAAGACTTTTTGTGCATTTAGAGGTAGAATGTTACTGATCACTGTTCCTAGCTCTAAATGAAGTTTGCCTAGACGGAGCCACAAACGCCTCCTACTACATGATGTATATACCCGGTACAGGATAATAGTCATTTGCAGAAAATAAGTTTTACATTTGGCCTTCTGGCCATCTGATATTTGAGTACCTTGAAAGGAGAAAGAATTCTTCCCTTGAGGAAGACGTGCTCCCATACTTTTGCGATTCTTAGCATTAGGGTCAGCGTCTTACAGGAATATAAAAGTCCTTGAAGAGACATCTGTTAAGTGTGAAATAGAGCTACATGGCAATAAAAGATCACACAGCACAAAGTAATGGCCTGATTGAGGTCAACTTTGAACATGAGGTTTTAGGTGGTCTTATAGAAATAAAGGATCTTCAAAGTTTATGATAGTAAAAATATCTTACAGTTTCATCGCATGTACAGTTTGCTAGATGAGCGTGAAAGTATAGCCATACATACACAACACTCGATACAATCATGAAAGTTGGCTGCAGGCCGGGCGCGGTGGCTCACGCCTGTAATCCCAGCACTTTGGGAGGCCAAGGCGGGTGGATCACCTGAGGAGGTCAGGAATTGGAGACCAGCCAACATGGAGAATCGCTTGAACCCGAGTGGCGGAGATTGCAGTGATCCCAGATGAGGGACTGTACTCCAGCCTGGGCAACGGAACAGACTCCGCAAAGGAGAAAAAGTCGGCTGCAGAGGGCGAAAGTGGATCTCGGAACCTTTATGTTGGGGATCTTTTTTCGAGAGGGACCGGAAAAGAGGTGGGATCGTTTGTCGCGATGTGGGGCGGCGGTAAGCTGGGCTCCTCGGGGGGTTGGTTTTTAAGAGTGCTGGGGTCCGGAGGCCGTAATACAAAAGCTGTACGTCATCTAATTTCCTCGGTGGGTGAGTGGGTGCGGAGGTCCCTCGCATGCAGTCCATTGCGAGGGCTCGCAGCTCTGCGCATGCGCTGGGGGTGGGGCGGTGGGTTGTAGCTGGAGCTCGCGAGGGGTCAGCGCGAAACCTGAGACTTGGCCCTAGTCCCAGCTCTCCCCATTGTAAACCTGGCATAGTCCCCTTGGCGGACGTCGGGGTAAAGAACTCAGTACCAGTGGTCCTGTCTGGAAAAGCGCAGGCCGCTGGTGTCTCGTGGCTGAGCTCCTTGCCCCAGGAGCCGGAGACCCACTCTGCGTGTGCTGCGGTCTTGAAGGTCATGCATCTTTCCTTTGTCGGGGCAGGAGTAACTCGCGCCTCGTAGTTATGCATAGCTTTGTATCTGTGTTTTGTTTGCACAAAGCTTGCTGTTTTTTCAGAACGAATTTAAGGCAGCTGTACTACTTTTTGATTAATAGGTTAATTCAACAGACTGCATTTGCAAATGAAATCAAGAAAATAACGCACTGCTCGGTGCTTGTAGACAGTCTGATTTTCGAACTCTCAGTGTTAAGTAGAAACAAGCTCATCTTTTACATGGAACTCTTAACAAATACTGTATGCCAGACACTGTTATGAGCACTGGGAATTTAGAAATGAATGACGCCGCAAGGATCTCTTTTAAAATGTTAGGATAGACCTAAGATCAGGATATAATGAACAAAAAAATGGAGAATCTAACCGCCCATTAATAAAGGTTATTAG